AGAGCTGCGGCCACAAGACTACTTAGATCGCCCGCAGTCAATCAGCGGATAGAAAGACTGAATTTGCACGTAGGGTTTTCGCCCAACGCGCGCACGAAGAAAGCGTTAGCTCAATTACCTCTAAATATTTTTTTATAAAAATAAAATAAAAATAAAACAGCGGTATATTTTTTTTCGTTATAGAACAATTCCGACTTTACTTTTTTTACCACCCTAATAAACATTCATCAGTACGTAGATACATGGAAACATCGTCAGCACATGCTTCCATACATACACACATTTGTGTCTAAGAAGTTCTACATACTTATGTATGTAACTATTTGATATAAAAGTCAAACTTCAACAGAAGCTACTATCTTACTTAGGGTTCATAATTTCCATGCACCAGCTAAGTTGTAAAACTCTGCTGCATGATGAATGTTGCAACAATGCCTTGATGCACACAGAGTATTTATGTAAGTATGTACGTACATACGTATTAACATATCACACCCATATTTGACAGATAACGTTATTAATGAGCTATCTTTGCGCATGTGAAATGAATTAGTTTTGATGAAGAAGAAGAAGAAGAGAAAGTACTTACTACAACAAAATTAAAGTCAACTATATAGCAAGAAATCCCCTTTCCATAACTGAAGTGTGAGATAAGGCACTGCATATGATGTCGCCTTGCAACTTTTGTGGTTGTCTATGATTTGTGGCATAGGAGTAGACGCTTGACATATGGGACATTTCGATTGCAGTATATGTATGACTGTTTACAAGGCTGTTCGGTTGATTTCGACAACCTGACACACAGAAAATTGTGACAATCTTTGTATTGGCATTAGATTGACACTATATTTGCTTAATTAAATTAAATTTTGATGAACCATTTAATTCATATATTTCAAGTAGATTAAGCACAATCTGTATTAAGGTAAACATAAGCGTTTGATGGCATTAATTAAGTTGAAGGCTGCGGTAAGCTGAAGGTATGACTTTTGACTTTAGAATAGCATTCAGCAATACAAAATCGTTGTGTATTGGCTAGTATTGGGTCGCTGAACGAAAATCTAAAAGTAGCATTTTAGGGCTTTCCTTTGCGATCTTAGATTCGATTTAAAGATCTCAAATCTATACAAATTGATTAGTCTCGATATAGAGAATTACCTTGTTTAAGATATTGTGT